CTCCATTTGCTTTTATGGAAAATAAGGGCTTTTAAAATGTATTTTAAAATGATGATAACCATATGCTGTTGTGTTCTGTTACTTGCTCACGCCTTGTTGTTAGACTTGGCAAATTGGGTAAAATTATGGTTAGATTCTAAAGGTGCTTCAGTTGCACAATCTGATATAACAATTTTAAACTTTTTACTTCATACTTTATTTTATAGTGCCCATTTTACCGAAATATTTCTATAGTCTGCCAGCCATAGTAATAATAATAGTAATAATAATGATATATTTTTGATTTAGTGTTATTACCAAGTCAGAAGTCATTGTCTTCGGAGAGAGTTGAACTTTATCTTTCGGGAAAGCCTTTCCGCTGAACGCGCTGCGTGCGTGAGAAGGTCTCTGCTGCTTTTGGACTCGCCTCTCTGCAGGCAGGGAATTCAGGTCAGCGGTTCGGCTAAGTGAGGGATACTCTGACAGCCAGGTTTGATGAATCAGATGGTGTCAGGGCCAATCCTTTACCTCTGGCAGAGCTGAGCTGGCTAAAATGGTCCTGGAGGATCAGCTGTCAGCCGCCTGATGTGTGGTGAAGCCCCATCCTGTGGCCGCACTGCCGGCAGTCAGTATACATACCATACATGTTATTACTCACTTTACGTACCCTACCGGATTTATGGTGCCTAATATGCAGCATTTGTAGTGATTGTACATCTACAAGGACTCCCAGTCACTCCTATCCCATGGCTTGATTTTAAGAGCTGAACTATTCTGCAACATTTGTTCACGTGGGTCTGCAAGTAAATGCTGCAGAATTGTGCTCCTCTTGAAATCGCTGGTCTTCTGCAGCGTGGCGGAGCGCATAGCCAGGGAAGAAGGCAAGCGCGGGGCGGCCTTCGCCGGAGGTCGTGTCGAGGACGGCCGGGCCCCAGCCATGGACAGGTGAGGTCCCTGCACATCTGCTGGACCAGTGCTGCGAGCGCCGTCCGGGCCGCTTAAAGAAAGGTCTCTGATGTTTGGGTGACTTCCAAAGCTCATTAACTTTGGGAAACACACAGAACGAGCACATCTCCTGAGTCAGAGCGCCACCCTCTCCTCTGCTCCACCCCACAGCGATTCTCCTGCCGTGAGCTGAATACAGGTGATCCTGTTGGTGTTCCATACCAAACTCATCAGTCACATATCTCTGCTGAGTTTGCCAATCTCAGGATTTTATTTGTTTTTTTTTTAAATAGTAATTACCATGTAAATTACAAAAACAATATTAACATATATTTGCAGTTTATAAAACTTCAACCAGTAACATAACAATCTGAGTACATATGTATTTAATATCCATTCATCCATCCATTTTCTGCTGCTCAGTTGGGTCCAGGTCATGGCGACAGCAATCTGTGAAGGGATACACAGGGATGCTCCCTCTCCCCAGCCACCTCCTTCAGCTCCTTCAGGAGGAGATCAAGGTGTTCCCAGGCCAGCTGAGAGATTTAAGCTCTCCAGTGTGTCCTGGGTCTGCCCTGGAGTCTCCTCCCGGTTGGTCAATGCCCAAAACGCCTCCTCATGAAGCATCCACGAGGGATCCTAGAGAGATGCCCAAACCACCTCAGCTGGCTCCTTTTTATACTGAAGAACAGTGGCTGTACTTTCAGCTCCTCCTGAATGTCTGAGCTCCACAACCTCATTTCTAAGCCCTAGACACCAAAGGAAGCTTGTTTCTGCTGCATATATCCATGATCTCATTCTTCCGGTCACTAGCCAAAGCTTATAACCGTAGGTGAGGGTAGGAACATAGATCACTAGTAAATCGATGGCTTCACCTTTTGGCTCAGCTCTCTCACCACAACAGACCAGTACAATGCCCATATACCTGCTGACGCTCACTGAAACACCTGTTGATCTCCCATTCCGTTCTTCCCTCACTCATAAACAAGACCCTGAGATGCTTGAACTCCTCCACTTGTGGCAGTAAATCATCTCTAGCCTGGAGGGGGCAATCCACCCTTTTCTGGTTGAGAGCCTTTGCCTCAGTCTTAGAAGTGTGGATCCTTATCCTGTTCAGTTCAGACAAAGCTGCAAAAATACCCCAGTGCACACTGGATGTCATCAGGACCGCATCAACGGCAAAATGCAAAGACACGGTCCTGAGGTCACTGAACCAGAAACCCTCTCCACGCCTTGGCTGCATCTAGAAATTCTGTCCATAGCCCTCATGGGATCTAACAACCACTGGGAAGGAGTTTGATTTACTTCTGGCAATGCAAACCCCCCACAGGACCCCCCAAGGAACAAGATTGTATGCCTTTTCCAAGTCCACAAAACACATGAAGACTGGTTCGACAGGCACCCATAAACCTACTACTATCCTAGTGAGTTTTCCACAACCAGGGGTACGTTTCCAAAAAGCTTACACAGTTGGAACCATTCATTTGCATGGGCAAGTCCTCCTCTGAGTTCCCTGTCTTTGCTTTCTCCACGGAGAGCGTGATTTAGGAGGCCCTCGAATTACTCCTTCCACTGCAGTGAACAGCATCCCCCCCATCCCTGCTGTAAACAGCATGGGAAAAACCCTACTTACCCCTCCTGAGTCACATGACAATTTACCAAAATCTTATTGAGGCTGACCGGAAGTCGTTTTCCATGGCTTCACTGAACTCCTGCCGCACCCGAGTTTTTGTTTCCACAGCAGCCACAGCCACAGTCCGCTTGGCCTGCCGCTACCTGCCAGCTGCCTCTGGGGTCCCACAAGCTGACCAAGATCAGCAGGCCTCCTTCTTCAGCCTGACAGCTCCCTTTACACTGGTGTCTACCACCAGGCTTGGGGGCTGTAGTCATAACTGGTGCCTACAATCTAATGGCCACAGCTCTTCACAGGGTAAATTCCAGGTTCCAGGGTGGGGGTCCTGCTCTCCTAGTCTCCCTAGTCCAGGCAAGGTTACACGATCCTTAAAGCTTCTTTTCATTAGGGGTCTTTCTGAATTGCATTTCGTTGGCTCACCTAGGACGCATTTACCTTGGGAGACTCTACCAGGGGCAATTTCCCCCAACAACATAGCTTCTAGGATCAAAAAAACAGGCACCAAAAACCAATATTACTATTAAATCATTTTGCTAATGTTTGCTTTTCAAAGCATTTGTAGAATATTTTTCCATCAGTAAGTCAGTAATTGTTTGTAAATGTTTTGTTTATTTTCTCCGAGTGTCCAGGGTGCTCCATCTTCCACTTAGAAAACATCTTAAGCAGTCAAGTGGTCCGAGGTATAATGGAAATAATCACATTGTGGGGGAAAAATGTTCCTTAAGCTCGTGGGCTGCAGTGAGTTAGAGGGCATGTGACGTGCTGTGGCCCCCTGTGGCAGGAGCGATGTGCCCCCATCTGCCAGGATTGCTGAGTGTGAAGCCGCAGTTTCACGCCGATTATCTCCGCGCCTCTGCTACTCTGCGAACGCTTTAATTCGTCAGTGGGCAGAAATGCCAAGCACACAGCCTCCCTCTGCTTCAGGCCCAAACCCTTAAATACCTGGTCTTGCATTACCTTGTTAAATCGATGAGTATTGTGACAGACGCCAGAAAGGGGAATTTGCTAAATGTGCACAGGGACAAGGGCCTCTGTCTCGGAAAACACTTTAAACCAACAACGTGAGGAAAACTGTGGACCCTTTGAAATTTGTCACTTGTATGAGGGACGCGGGAGCTTTGTGGCACCTCTGTAGCACCTCTGCAGCACCTCTGCGCATCCTTTCAAATAGCCTTTATTTCAATTAGCCCACCTGAACAGGGAAGGCATAAGACCCAAGGGCTATAAACGCAGTGGGGGCAGGTGTCTGCGTTAGCTTAAGCATACTGTATGTGACGGGGATTTTAAAGGTCCTCTCTGTCTCGGTAATAAACCATCCAGTGTGTTTCGGGAGGCTTCCGGTGTGGCGTTCAGGCGGCCACTACGCAAAGCCCCTGCGGTGGTTAAGAGGCGCCGCTATATGCTAAACATTAAAACAAACAGAAGTGAGCCACCACTCTGCTTCAGTTCACTTGGAAGGCAGTTGTTACCGAAAGCCTGAGAGCGAAGATGACGTACGACTATTTTGCCCCAAAGGAAAAAAAAAACATGTTTTTTTATGTTAGTGTTCAAAAATAAATTAGCATTTTTGCTTATAGCAAAACAAATGAACTTGTATGTGACTTGTATCTTACCCTCATACAAGTAGTGTAAGTAACATAATTTAGCATAAAAATCCACACAATAATTTTCAAGATACTGTAAGTGTGTGTGGGACACTTGGTGAGAAAGTTTTGTGTGCTGTGCTATGCACCTTACTTTACATGTGCAGTATTGGGATCAGTTCTGCAGTTCTTTTTGCATAAATTACAGTCATTGAAGTATTACTGTATAGAATACTGTAAAGAAATATTGGTTTAATCTCTTTTACTATTACTGCAACATTTTTTTTTACATGCTATCAGATATTTACTGTGGTAATGCAGCAGTAAAATTATGGTTTTAATAGGTTTAGTGTTATACTGTAGTAAAGCAGGGGAGTCGTAGTGGTAAGGTGGGTTGCTTCACACAGAGTTGGGAGTTTAAATCCAGCCCCTGCCCTGGATGTGTGGAGTTTGCATGTTCTAGCAGGTTCTTGCAGCCGGCCTGGTGTCCATCGTCTACAATTATGGGTGTCTACCCCATAATGGACTGGCATCCCATTCAGGGTGCATTCCAGCCTCATGCCCTATGTTGCCTAAAACAGGCCCCAGACCAGGATAACTGGTTAGAAGATTATTTTGGAGGTTATTTTATTTTGTATGATATAACTTGATTTTCCTTCATTTGTAAAGCTGGAAATGTATTTCTCCCCTGGCCTTGGACCCGCAATGTATTGAATAATGAAGTTGTGGCTTTTGGCAGATGTTTTCCGCTTCCGGTCACTTTTCAAAGCCAGCTTCTGGTTCGCTTCTTTTCTCCATTCCCAGTGTATCCATCCTACAAGTGCTTCCCTTGACCATCTGTCTCCGTTTCCGTTCCCCAGCTTGCGGGCTTGGATTCTACAAAGCGTTCCCTGGGAACATCAGGTGCTCCAAGTGTCCTCCGCACAGTTTCAGCCGTGATGAGGGCTCGTCTCTCTGCCCCTGTGAGAAGGGATTCTTCAGGGCCCCCAAAGACCCCCCCAGCATGGCCTGTACTCGTAAGTTACAGATGGTTTTTGTTTTAACCCTCTATATTCTAGCCCCGTTGCTGTGAAACTATGGCACCCTTGCTAGCTTTCCAATAATGTATGAGGTTTTAGGTACCAAGCACAAATTATATGCATATGTAAAATTTATGGACTGATTGCTTATTTGGTTCAAGCTGTGTTCATCCTTAACCCCCACCCAGCCCTGACCTGAACCATAAGTAACCAAAAAAAAAAAGATTTCTTGGATTTTTAGTTTTTTGATTGCAGTCACAGATTTTTTATAAAAATGAACTTCCCCTTCTGAGGACTGAAAGAGTGGTCTGCACAATGTCAAAATAACAGGTTTTTATCACATTGTGGGGACATTTGATTACACGCACGCAAACACAGGTTTGTAATTATATCTTTGTGAGGACTCTCCATTCATTTCTATGGGGGAAACTCTAATCCCAACATGAAGACCTTAACCTCTGCCAAGCCCTAACCCTAACCATAAGTAATCAATCAAAATACTTTTTGATTTCGTGTACATCTTTGTGGGATCCTGAAAAATGGTTCCCACAATGTAATATAAATCTAATCCACACACACACACACACACACACACACACGCACGTACGCACACACATAGTTTTGTGTAACTCGATGTTTGCACACACGTTTAGGGACATTCATAATTGTGTTGGGGCTAAGTGTAAGGAGCAGCATCCCAGGAATGCCAATCTTCTGGTCTCTTTGCGTTTTTGATGAGGAAGTCGTCTTTGGGGGTTTTGTCCCTCAGGCACGTGTATCTCTGTGTGTGGCACTATGTCTGTACACCACTGAAAAAACAGTGACATTAGTGGCCCAGCTTATATAAAGGGAAACTGGGTAATGCAATGTTTTGGGATTAGAATTAATAATTGTTCATTGTTTCTGATTCTAAGTCTTCATAAATGATTCACCGCCATGTCATTACAGCTTAATGTTTGCATGAAATCACAGTTTAGCCAGAGCAATTTATTGTCAATTAAAAAGCTATCTGACTGTAATGCAAATTGGCGAAAGGACTCTTGACAGAGCGGGCGTGGGGCTGAGAAGGGTGGGGGGGGCCGGGGGGGGTGCTGCAAGAGCCACTAACATACATTATGAGGACACGCACTGGAGAATGCAGCCATCCGGAATCAGCTCTTTGTTCAGACCCAGAGTCATGTGACAGCGAGAAGCACACATTGACAGTGTGAATGAGCGACCATGTGTGCAGGGAAGCATGGGCCATTTGTAGCTTTATGTTCAGGAATAATGGAGAGTGGACGGTGAAGGAGGCATGTTCATTCCAAGAAAGGCGGACGGAAAAAAGAGAGGAAAAGAACATGGAAAACTTCAGTGAGTGTCAAGAAATGAAATGAACAGGAAAATATGTCTAATATAATGAGTGATGGGTGATTATAATCGGCATAGAAATCGTCCTCCTGCCAGATGCCTGTAAGCCAGCTTCCACTTCAGTTACAGCACCAGCCAAAAGTCTGGACACACCTGCTAAAAATCATTTGCTTTTCATTAAGATATTACAGTTACCAGGTTATTTAGTAAGTATTATTTTAACAAGGAGAGAGAGAGAGTGCTGCTACACATCACCTGCCCCCCACAGTCCCCCGACCCAAACTCTACAGTACTGGTTTAGGATGAGCTGGAGAAGCATTAAAGGTGGCTGCATCCGGAAGCTGGCTGAAAGAACGCCAAGAGTCTGCAATGCTGCCATTGGAGCAAAAGGGGACTGTTTTGAAAAGTATGAGAAAGTTTTGAGATTTTTGACACTTCTGTTGGTTGTTGCAGTATTTGATATGTATTACTTCATTGTCTCGATGCCTTTTACTATAAGCCAAATAACACAAATTAAATAGAGACAAGATTATTAAAAGCAGGTGTGCCCAGACTTTTGACTGGTACCGTTTTATACTGTAGCTGTTTCCCTGAAAAACAACAGCGAATGATAATTATGTTTGACCATTCAATACCTGAGAGTAAGCATGAAGATGCATAAAACTTCTTTTGTTTTTTCTGAAGCTGGAATTAGAAACATAAACCGTACCAGTGATCGCGAAGCTCATACCTTCAAGGAAGAAAAGCAGCGCCGCATTTCGCATTTCTGATCCAAAAAAGCCATTATCTGCTAGGAGATTAAAAAGCGAGACTCCAGTGCGGGAGGTGAACAGACAGCTGATGGACGGGATGCAATTGTGGCGTGATGAAGCATAATGGAATAATACAGAAGGATGGCGACAGGCTCTGGGGGTGGGTGTCCACCTGAAGACCTGCTCACAAAGATCTTTTGTGGGAACAGGCTTATTTATAGACGACTCTGAGCTCTGACGCCCTACAAGGGCAGCGTCATGATGGCGGTGGCCTTTGTCCAGCGCCCTCCTGAACCCCACATTGCAGCCACTGCAGACATGAGAAGCCTGTAGGTATATCACTGCCGCCTTGTCAGCTGCCAGCTTACTGCCATCATCAGTACGTGCATAGAGGCCCTTGCTTCCAGTGACTGGCACATCGGTGCCCACAGGACATACCCACTTTCTCACACTGCTCTGACTTGATTTTGTTCCACATGTCTTCCAGTTTCATCCACGATTTTTTTTACTGTAGTGGGTTTGTTTGCCGTAATTCTGTCGCCAGTTGCCTTCCAGGGACTCTTGATAGGGTTCAGATGAGGATTCTGGGTCTGGCCATCTCGTCACCTTGATGTTCTCAGCTTTGAGGAATTGCTTCACTTCATCTTGTATAAAATGACTGGCTGATTGGCTGATGCTCGTAGGGAAGGAAACGCATGTTGGTGAAGGAGGGACTGATACTCATTAGCATTCATCTTACCATGTAGCCGTATGGGACCTGACTCCTGCTGCAGAGAACATACCCCACCCACGACACTTACCCCTCCCAACTTTTCTGATTTCTTCACATGCCTTTGCTGGAGTCTTTCCTCAATTCAATACCACAAATAATGTTTCCTATCCGAACCAACTAAATTACAGCTTGCTTTCATCACTGAAATTAATGACTTATTTCTATTGTACAGCTTCAATATATGAGAAATGAAGCTTTTCGAAAGACAAACGTCTCTTTCAGCAGCTAAGAGGGTCATCCTGTCAGCCTTCATCTGAACAACCTGATGTCACAGGCTTTCAGGAACCTTGCAGAGGTCCACCATCTTGCAAAATGCCTATCAATGTTGCCAAATAAATCGGGTTGCCAGATATTTCAGGATATTTAACATTAGATCCAAAAACTGTCAAGTACAACAAATCATTCTCTAATTTTGATTGCACGCCTTCTTCAAATTTCATGTTTAAACCTTTATTTTTTGATGCAGTCTGGCTTTCACTGATGAAATATGATTATATTATATCTCGTCTATTCATGTTCGCAAAGCTGTGGCTTTGTTAGAAAAAAATATTTTTCTGTAATTTTGATCACCACTGTATATATAAATATAGCTTCAGCCATACATCAAGGGAGTAACATTGATGTTTGAAACTATGAATAGCGAAAATGCTGACATATTTTACTTAGATTATATCATGAAGATAAACCAACCTGAATATTTAAAAATGCAAATTAACATTCAGAGTTTACTTTAATGACTTAGCAAGCTGACAAACATAACAATAATGTATAAAGGAGGTGAACAATATGTCACCTTAATTTGATCTTTGAAATTCTGTCTGTTTTAATTTTGGGCCAGTGTTTGGCTGGTTTGGCCAGAAGGTCGCCGGTTCAAATCCCAGGGTTGGCAGTGTGTTGGGTCCCTGAGCGAGGCCCAAACCCAGGACTGACTGACCCTGGTTTTGAAATCGTCCATCGCTTTGGATAAAAGTGTCAGATAAATAAGTAAATGAAAATGCTATCAGAAGTAGTACTTCCTGTTAATTATACCCCGTGTGCTTTGCTCCCCCCCCCCCCCACGAAACGTCCTCTTCAACATCAACGAGACCTCACTGTTCCTGGAGTGGAGCCCACCCAGTGACACCGGCGGCCGCAAGGACCTGACCTACAACGTGGTGTGTAAGAAGTGCGGGCCGGACCCCGGGCGCTGCGAGCTGTGTGGCGGGGAGCTGCGCTTCGTGCCGCACCCCCGCGGCCTCCTCAATGCCTCCATCACCGTGCTCGACTTCTCCGCCCACACCAACTACACCTTCGAGATCGAGTCCCAGAACGGCGTGTCGGAGCTGAGCCCGTCGCCGCGGCCCATGGCCGCCATCACCATCAGCAGCGACCAGGCCGGTGAGTTTCCCGCCGCTCCTCCCAAACTCATCTCGGCCTTCGCTGCACTCCTTTGAACCTTATCTGTTCCACTTCCTGAAAAAAAGGTCCTCCTTTGTTATTGGCTGAGAATAATTTCATACTCCTCTCAGACTGGACTGTGTCTGGGAGATATTTTTGGGTGTCTGTTTCCCCAGGAGTGCAGATTGAACTGCTTTCAGTGCTACAGCAACACTGTGCACCAAGTTCCCCTCTCACCCTCACTTTCCAACATAAATCCTCAGTTTCCAAGCTTGGGAAACAATGCAGCTTGTATGTATCTATATATATAATTTTTCTAAAACATCTCGGTGCTCGCTAATTGCAGCATATCTCGCTGTTGTTATTGCCGATTTATTCAGGTTTGCCCAAAAAGCTCTCCGGAATAGTGTGACGTCAAACCACGTTTATTTAACTGTGTTTGCTCAAAAAACGGTCGGTATAGCAGTGAGGCATCTTGAAGTCGTTACCTCCCAGCATGATGTGTAACTGATCCCTCGTTCTGCAGAATACGGTCACACTGCAGGCTAATGGTCAGCCTGGACTAATCGGTGGTACTGGGAGTGAGATCTCTGAAAGGTCTGTTGCAGCCAATGCAATTAAAGTGAAGAGGAAACTGCTTTTTATATCAGGGCTGCTTGGGGCTATGTAGTTTATTACCTAGAATAAAGTAAATGATACTGAGCAGCTGCATACAGCCATAACTTACCCAATAGAAGCATCATGTTTATTATTACTCAGAAAAAAGGCACTGTGAATTAGTAGGTATAAATGTACACTACTTAAATCACACAAGGCAGCTCCAGTAAGTAAATAAGAAAGGTAGTCTGTCACAGAGCATAATATGAATGAAATATCCTTGGCAGTTGTAGCTGATTTGTGGATTCGATTTACAAAATATGTGTGTGAGTGAGATGTGTGGGCGGCAGGGGGATGGAGGTGGAGCTATGAGCCAGTGGATGCTCATGAGCTGGGGTGCAGTAGGGGCATGGATACCCTGGCAGATTCAGGGGCCCAGCACATTACAGGGGCCACAGTAGGGGCATGGATACCCTGGCAGATTCAGGGGCCCAGCACATTACAGGGGCCACAGTAGGGGCATGGATACCCTGGCAGATTCAGGGGGCTCTTGAATATGTAAGTGAAACATGGGGGGTTGAGTTGCCCATAAACTGGGGTTGGGGGCTAGATGTCAGGGGACCTAGAATGTCAGTCAGTGCCCCTGCTCATGAGTATTTAGGAGTAAATTTGAAAAAGATTTTTAAAAATAATAAAAAAGTTTACGGCAGTTTTGCACATAACACTTTAATGAATTGAACAACAAAGCCAACCAAATTGATCAGTTGTTCCCATAACAGGATAATATGCTGTAATTTTTTTGTTGCAGAGAAAGCAAAAACATGCTCATCATCACACATCAGACTCTGGTCTTGGAGATCTTGCAGTTCAGCTTTTCAAAAGCAGGGAGCAGGAAGAAAGGATCCTATTTGGAAAACTGCCGATGCTGGGAACAAGCTCAGCTTGCCTAGTGACAGGAGAATTGATTCACTGAAGGAGGGAAATGCAGAGCATGGAAATTAAATGGTAGTGTGGTACTTTAGAAAGCATGGCTAATGTCATGTGGCATCCTGATTACTACAGTGGGCTTCCATGGCGTCAAATGACTGCTGAGGTGTTGCCCTGTTAGGATTGGGGGCGGGGCTCCAGATGACTAGGCCGTGACTGACGGCGCATGGCAGGCTTGGGGGAGGAGCGGGGGCGAGGCCAGCCATCAAATATGCAATAGTGTGGATACAGAAATTTAATTGAAAATAGAAAGAATTTAGGTGGGGGGGACTCAGGAGGGAGCAAGCAAAACTGCCTGAAAGGTGAGCTGGGGGGGTACAGAGTGAGGGAGGGGGTGCACTGGATTAAAAGGAATGTTTTTAGCGCTGGCAGAAGCAGGTAATTGTGTTGGTCGCTGTGCAGTTAGAGCAGAACTGCTTTGGTACATGAATAAATCTGTATACAGTGAGGTGCCTCATTTAAGGAAAGCATGTCCCAGTGAAAATATAATTCTGCACAAACGTTTAAGGAAAGCATGTCCCAGTGTAAATATAATGGCGCACAAACGTTTAAGGAAATGCACCCTGATGGATAAGAAAAACTGCAGGATGCAGGATGCTCTTCATTTCTTTTATTTGAATAAAAGGTGTGCATTTAAGTGTGTTTTTCCACCATTTTTCACAATCTGACTAGCCAAGTAGGTAATTGTATATACTACTGCTGCAAATTCATAGTGAGTCCGCGTGCAACTTCGGCATTAGATGATTTGTCATGCAGGAATTTAATTATTTTTTCAGATTAACGTTGCAGATTTAATAATCGCTGTGCTTCAGCTAAAGAATCATTCTGGAATGGAAAAACCGGGAAAATGGGAATGAATGTCGGCAAAGGCCTTATTCCCAGGAGCACCAAGCTCTAGTTCTGTGGATGAAGTGCTGCTTGTGTGAGAGATCGTTCTCCATGTCCGTAGTTATTTGGTTCTTATGATATCTTAAATTACTATCATTTAATTTTTTTGTTCGTTTGTTTGTCTGTTTGTCCAAGCTGTTATTTTCAATTTACAACTAATATTCTTTTTTTGTTTTTGTTTTTTGAAAAATATATTGACAATAAAACAGGGTAGAAATTGATCATATTTACCTGACATCTTTGGCCACTGAGTTTATACTAGTGTGGTACCCTTTACATTACCTTGTGCTAGTTTGTATACCAACGCAGGAATGTAAGTTAACCAGGCATTTGTAACATTTACGATAGAGCTATTATTTTTCCCTTGAAGAATATTTATTTGAGTCATTGAGTTATGCTCTTAAAAACCATGGTGAAACAGAATCTCTAAGCATACAGTCACACACAAAGCCCACAATGCGACAACGGATTTTAAAACCCACCATGAGGTTGTCACTTTGTCACCTCAGACAAATGCTGTATTTCCAGTGTGTTTTTAATTATAATAATAAATGTAAGCACAAAAATGATGGACACTCATAATAGCCCCCGACGGAATTTAAAATACAGGGTACTGTTAAGGAACATTCCGGAAGGTTGATACAAAATAGCAGAGGCAGAGCATGTGCTTTGGCCTCAGCTTAAAGGTTCACTCTTACCTGTCATGCCGGTGCCCACCACGAACAAGTGGATTGTTCCCTCATTTTGGTGTTAAAGCAGTTAGCTGGAACAAAGTGTGCTGGTCTCATGTGCCTAGGAATTATACAGCAGGCCTGTGTGTTTAGGTATGCTGGGGGATTTGCTGAGCGTGGAGAGCTTTGCTAATTTGCTATGGTAAAGATGCTGGCAAAGGTGATTAGGGAAACAGAATGGGGGAGGAGCTGATCCACTCAGCCGACCCGCTGCTAATAACTCTCACGTGTTTCCATAATTAATAATCCGTCCATCTAACCGTTCATCCTGGTCAGAGTCTCTATGGGAACCTGGAGCCTATCCCAGAATGCATAGGGCACACAGCTGGGCTACTTGAATGGGATGCCAGTGTATCACAGAACACACACACACACACACACACACACACACAGAAGCAGTTATATAATAATTAATAATGATGCAATTAAATAATTATAATGCAATAAAAGTATAGCCACAGAGTTAATTACCAGTCTCCAGTAATTACAGGAATGTTCATTAGGGAAAGTGCCACACATCACATATTATTTAAGGCCAAATAACCTCAAACAATGGCAATTTATCAGAATTTTATACCGGTAATAATGAAATTTTTTAGTGAATCTTTTTTTTTTCTGGAATAAGTGGAATATCCATTAAACAAAGTCAAAAAATATACATTTAATAAAGCAGCCAACATCTGCTTTTTTTTCTTCCCATAAACATTTAGGTTCCCTGCTAAAAAATAAGAGGAGATTCTTGTTCTCCATCAATAAGTATCGTTGCATGTAATTCACATAATTTGATGAAAGGTCTGAGTTCCATCTAAAGTTCCTTGTGAACTTTTCGACTATAAGCTGTCGTAAGCAATAATGTTTCCTCCTTAAAGTGTTTTTGTGTGTGTGTCCTCCCCCCCGGAGCTGACCTGTGAAAGGAGAGGCAGCCTTTTAATGTCTGCGCTCTTGGGTGACACCTTCCCCGTCAGGCTAACCAGCAGCAGAGTCAGAATCGCCAGGCCCGGCAGTTTCGCGGCATTAACGCGGTGTCACGCCTGATCCCACCCGGGATGGGAAACTCATTCCTGTCCTGAGACTCACTCAGGATGGCCTCCCCTAATTCCCCCTCGCTGTCAGGCCTGTGGCAGACGGGCGAACGAGCGGCAGCTCTGCGTGCCGGTAATTAACCTTACCTCCCATTACGGGCCAATCTGGGCTGACGGATTACCTCCCGTCCATCTGCCGGGGCCCCGGCTCGCCTCGTACCCCTCCCCCGCCTTCAGTGGGCACAGCTAATTAGCCTGGTCGCTGTGAACTGAGGACACTGTGGTCCGTAGCCACGCTCTCCACACCTGGGACGCAACTCATTCACACTTACGCAAAAAAAAATGCTGCATTCTTTTGCATTTGCTTTCCGTATACAGTAGCAAGGCACTGCAGTATTTATTGCGCATCATTAATGCCGCAAAGGGCATGTTTCTGTTTGTAGGGGTCAGACTTAACCCCAAAGGAATCTACTTACCAGAAATATAAAATGTATATGATGCCTTAATTTTATAGAGCAGGGGTAGATCAGATGATGCTACTGTACCTATAAAATAGAGCAGGGGTAGTGTTTTTTAAGGATTTCTGATGTTATGGGAACTCAAAGGTTGGAAGGAGGAGGCTAATGTCAGAGAGCAAATACCACAGGGGCATTTCAAAACAACTGGAAGCTCCCAGCCAGCCTGTCAGATCTGTAAACTCACCTTCCGCTCAGTCGGCTCCTGCTTCTAGTTGAGCGTTGTCAAGCTGCTTTTTTCCCTGCCTGCTGAGCGCCGT